CGGAGTCCCCGGCTGGTAGTGGTTAAACAACAAATCATCCCTCTGTGAGCCTTCCAGTTCCTACCAATATTAAAGAAGTAGGAATGCACAGCCTGGGTTGGGCAAGATTTTTGGTTCAATTCAATCCACTTGTTTTGATGGAAATCAGCTGTTTGGATTCACTAAGTGAATTTGATGCAAGGGATTTTTAATATCATCATGATTTAATTTTATTTGTACTTCATTTGAATTGTCCATTTTGGAGTTTGACATGGTAAAGTATCAGTGTACGGTGCACATCTACACAGGTACACATGTACAATTCATTTTATTTTATTGAGATTAGAAATGTTAGTCATTATGCAGTGTAACTAAAACCACTAACTATCCCTTGATAAATGTCCTTGGTAAAGTGATTTTTAATTAAGCCTAAGTCATTGCTCTGTGGAGCTGCACCACAGACAGAATGAGACTGCTTTTGTGCACACAGAGCAAGGTAAAATACCAGCATTTCGTACCCACCGGCATTATGTAGGATACATGTAGCATGCAAAATAAATACATGCACCTGTTGTTTGTGGCATGTGTCTCACTCATTAGTCATTTAGTGCTTATAAGTACCCTGTTAATAATTCTTTTGAACTCTAGTTTTGTCAGAACAAAGAGCTCGGTTTAAAACCTGGTACGTATTTATCCTTGGTACAAGTGCAAGTGCTTAATTGTCTGTGAAGGAAGTATCTTCTCTGCGGGTACATGTATGTGTACCTATCATGCCTATAGGTGTTATACATTTCACCAAGGCCAAGACGTGGTGGTTTGTGAATTTAATCAATTACTTGATTTAAATTTCTCAATTCAAATCCAAATTTGTTTAATTCTGTAACAAAATAAATAAATAAAAGAAAACGATTACACATGCAGCTAATTTGTTTGCTTTCGAATAGACATTTGAGACAACTTGTCTCCAACTTTTATAAAATAAAACAAATCTGCTTTAAATTTAAAAAATTCGATTTTAAAAATAAAAAAAAAATTAAAAATCAACTACCCCGCTCAGGTACACATACTGTTCATTTTGTGCATAAGCGAAAAAAATGGAGGATTTTTGAGGATTGAGGATGAATACAGTGTTTGAAGTTAGGTAATTGCAGGATTTTGGAGAATTGAGAATGTGCCCTAGTAAAAAGGCCCCAGTGGGTTAGGGTTTTGAAGGCATATTTTGCTTTTTACATGTAAATTGGTTAGCTTCATATGGTACCAAATCATTGAATGATATTGAATGAACAGGATATTGGCTATTGGCGTCCATCAAGGGTTTTATTGGGCATGCCGCCATGTGTAACTTCGAATATGTAAAAGTAACCCTCATCAAGGTTTCTACATGTACCCTAATCAGGATAGGGTTCTCCCCGGGATGTTATTCCAAAACTGAGCTTTTAGAGGCCTTCCATGGGGCCCCACACCCGTCACTGTCACATCACTAGTCATAAGACCGTGAATACCTCAGTTTTGGAATAACATCCCGGGGAGAACCCTATCCTGATTAGGGTACATGTGAATTTGTACTTTGAACAGGATATTAGCTATTGGCGTCCATCAAGGGTTAATTGTGCATGCCGCCATGTACTACAACATACTTCTACGTAGTATGTTGTAGTACTGAGTCCTGTAAGCCAAATGAGATGCCAGGTTGTTGTTGAAAGTGAAGATGTCAGTGAAAAAAGCGAAGGTTGCAATGAAAGAATAAAATGAAATTTCCTGTCACATTAGTACCTGCCTGCTCTGATGACTAATTTCATGTTTGTGATAAAACAAATTTGAGTATTTTACGCCAGATTCAGGAAAAACATAAAGGGGAAGCTTGGAACCCTCATGAATTCTAAATTAGTCTGATACCATCCCATTCCTCTGTTAACAATATATGAAACCGATTCGATGAACAAGATCAAAAACTTCCTCACGAATAACGTCCATTGGTTTAACTAGGATTTGACCTTCCACCTTCGTGCATAATTCAGTGTGAAGCTTTAACTTTTTTTTTCTCTTAAGCCAGGTATTGTCTTTGCCTTCAGTGGATGCTTGATGAGCTTGTCTGGATTCCTATCTCCAATTATCTTCAATGCCATCTACAGTAGCACTTTGTACTTCATGGCTGGATTCGTCTACCTGACTATGGCCCTGTTAGTTCTGATATCCTGGGGTGTCATTGTGTGAGTATTTGTATGTACTTGTTGCGTACACATTTGTGACCTGTCTCCACATCGGAGCTGAAAGTCGGAATTTTCAAAAATTTAGATATTGGTATTTTTTAGTTCAGCAGAAAAAGAGCTCTCCAATGGCATGTACCTGGAACACTTAGGGTTGAAGTATAAGCATGATAAGGTGACAATGTGACATTATTCTGGCAGCTTTGCGTCTTTGTTCCTAACATTGTTTCAACATTTCAGACCAGGCATGCATAATGCTATTCTCAAAACTGCTGTGAAAATGACATTTTTAACTACACGTATATGATCCTGCAAAATATTTGGAATTAAATTGGAGATGGATCAGTCTTCCCAAATATTACAGAATCCCCAAATTAACTTCCACTTCAATATGATTTTGAACCTTCAAAAGAGGAAAGAGCGGAATGTGACTTTACGCTCATTTGGTCGTGACGGGTCACATTTCAGTGGAAACCAAATAACCTGTCCTAGGTATGGAAACTGAAGTCATCAAAAAGTTTGGTTTCAGGGGTCAGGGCAGATCCAGAAATTTTTCAAGGGGAGGGGGGTCAGGCCGGAGGGGTTTTTTAGCCCTAACAGCCCTGAATACTACAAAGTACTTCATTGTAGTAAAATGTAGTATTCAGCGCTGTCGAAGAGGACATGACCTTATTGTTCTCTGAAGCCATAAAGTACAATAGATAAGACAATATACCGCACAGTGCTGTGGCACTATGAATGCATGGCTTTATTGTTCTCTGCAGTGGAGGGTGCCCTAGCCAGAAGTAGTAATGTACCATAGCGCTAGGTCCTTCAGGCTCAGACTACTGTTTTGTAGTACTGTAAGCCATATTTTATGCACAGGGTTCCAACGGCCTGGAAAAGTCAAGGAAATTTTTTTTGTTTTCCAGGCCTGGAAAAGTCATGGAATTTGTAAAAATGACTAAAGTCATGGAAAAGTCATGGAATTTTTCAAACACTGCGTGTGATTTCTATTCTCACAAATAAGTGCACAAAATGTGTGATTCTATTCGCAACTTAAAAGGCCGAATAGTCCAAGAAATTGCATTATTGGGTCATGGATTTTCATAAGTTGGTCATGGAAAAGTCATGGAATTTAATTGTCCTTTAGGTGCAGGAACCCTGACTTGCAGAACTGTTACAGTTAACGTCTCATTTTTGTGGGTTGTAGTCTCCTGTTTGTCGCCCTTGCCTTGTTCACAAACATGTAAGAATCTGCAGGAGGCTATCTTGTTTTTAAGGTTCTTAAGTTAGTTTTTTATTAATTTCCCCATTTTGTTACCTTTTTTCTTTTTTGTCTCACTCAGAGCAGGGGTAGGGGGTTTCAAGAAACATGAGAAACGAGGGGGTTTGCGTCAGGTGTTTTGTCTAATGCATGTATATGTAGACATGTGGATCATTATTTTGTCAGTACTCTTCACAGAAATCATGTTTGATTTGTTGTGTAGGTTGCTGCATATTTTTGAGCCCAGGCAGCGGAATGGGTACATTGAAATCAATGCTGACGGTAAGACCGCTTATCCTAAGAGTTTCTCTGAGAGGTGTAAAGTCAGAGTTCTTCAAAAGACGTACTTTTGCTGCTGAGCATAAAATATTGACTGGAAATTACCACATTTACTATACTTTATCAGGGTTTGCCATTAACGTTTTTTCCTCACTTGCCAGCCGGACCAGCAATGATGGCTTTTTACTAGTCTGCCAGCATCTTCACTAGTCCGTGTCTTCCCCCAAATTTCAACATTCTTTTTTGGCACTAGTGTTTTCTGCTCCAACATCATGCATGACAGTGTGCACTCGGTGCTGACTGTTGTTGAGTTGTTGATGAGTAATCATAAATGGCCATGGGAATTATGAATTTCCAGAATATTCATAAGCATAACTCTACTCAAGCGAATTAAACACACAAAGTGGTTACCCGCTGAAAATGGTTTGTTTTATTCACAATCCAAGAGACAGAAAAAAATATATATCATTATGAACAGTTTATGTACATGTACCAGTACATGTACGTTTTATGCAGTATGCACATGTACGTGCACATATGTACATGTACGCCTGGCGAACATGTACATGTAAATACAGTACATGTTTGTTCTCGTGGAACAGAAGTTTCAGACGATTTACTGCCGCTGCATTCATAGACTTCAGCATTACTTCTGCTGGGCTGGTGCCAGGGACCGAACTATTCTTGGTTGCAAAAGGTTCTACATGTAGTTTATTTGGATAAAATTCCAGCAGCAGCTAGAGGGTATGCATCATTATCAACTATTTCGCCGCTTATTTCAGAATATAATTTTACTAGACCGCCGGACTACCCAGACAAGGGCTTTTGCTAGACCGCCACGGTTTTTACACAAATTTGGCTAGCGGACCAGCGTTAAGGTCAAACCCTGCTTATATGTATGATATTCATGTTTGAGAGTCAAATCTCATAGGCCTATTCACCATTACATCAGTCCATATTGGGGCAAAGCACTTTTTTCCCGGGGGGGGAGGGAGGGAATATTACTCATCATCAGTGATCTGCTAAACCATTAACAGTGCAAGAGGGTTAAGTTTGAGGTTTTTTTTTTCAAAGCAAATTGGTGATTTTCATTCCCTTGTCTTGTGCAACGCCCATGGTGTGGTAGAGCAAACTCAATGTGGCTCATTTACAATGTAGTTTTGCCAGCTTCCAGAACCTCAAGGAGCTATCAGTTAGACGTCCACCCTCACACCAAGTGATCTCTATGTAACAATTGCATTGAACAAAAATCATCTGGATAAGTCACAATAGTAAAAAATTGCGTGACAACTTGGCAGTTACCCAGTTGTACTGAAGATAAGCCCCAGGTAGTGCTTAGTATTTTTTGCAGCAGGTTGACATGGCTGGCCCCAGTACATTAGACCAGTGCAGTTTTTACCATAGTTCTCTCGTTTAACTACCGATAAATTGTTTGTATTTTTGTGATTCATCATTGGCATCACTCATGTGCCATACATCTTTCATGAATATGTACCTGCCTGTGCAGATGTGCACTGCATTTATGTTCACCAGCTCATTTTGATTTTTCATTTCCAGTTGATACAAGTTGCATTGACGACAAGTTGGCATAAGCAGCGAACGCCGGAGGAGGTGTAAACCCACTACAGGTTTCTCCAACAGCAAAATGGCCAGCTTGTAAAACAACTGCTAATCCCATGCTCAGGGGACAGTCTCTGTTGTTGTGAAAGCCGAGGACTGAGTTGTGGGGACAGAGAATGCGGCCCCACAACGGTCTTGGTCTCATGACGTCTACATGTATTTTTTCAACGTTCAACATGTGTTGTCCCCATAAACGGTAGGAAGTGTATGTGGGTAGGCATTCACCGCGTTCAGGAGACAAGTTCTTTTGTTAGGGAAATTTGAACCAAGTTGTGAGGACATTTCTGAGTCCCCACAACATTTTCAGTCCCCTTAAAATAGGTGAAATATCAAGTGTATGTCCCCACAACTGCGGTGCGGGAGTGTGTGTACAGACTTGCGTAGTTGCAGGGATAAACGCACAATATTTCACCTATTTTGTGGCGACCGAAAATGTTATGGAGACAGAGATGTCTGTACGGCTTGGTCCCAATTTGCCCAGTTAAAGAAATTGTCCCCTTAATGCGGTGGAGACCTACCCACATCCTGACACTTCAGTGGTTCCCATTGACTTCATACACATATGCAGACATTCAACTGTGGACCTCCTGTTGGTTTTCCTTTGTGTGGATTTGAAAATTTGTGAAAGGTTTTGAGAATGTGTACGTTTTCCGATTGTGGACCCTTTCAACAGTGGACCCTATAGTTCTTCAATTTTCAACATCCAAGGTTTGAATACATAGCCACACTTTCTTTTTGATACCAGATTGTGGAGACTCCATCATGATGTGGTCATAAACTCCCACACCTTAGTTGTGAGGACATACACTCAACATTTCACCTATTTTGTGGGGACCGAAATGTTCCCACAACTCTGTTAAGATTTCCCTAACAAAAGACCTCGTCCCCTTAACGCGGTGAAATTTTTGAAGGGTTTTTAGAATGTGTGCGTTTTCTGATTGTGGACCCTTTTCAATGGTGGGCCCTATAGTCTTCCATTTTTCAACATCCATGGCTTGAATATGTACCCACACATTCTTTTTGATACCAGATTGTGAAGACTACATGTTGAAACATAAAATGATGCCGGATCAAAAATTGTAATGAGGACAGATTTGTGTCCCGGTAACTAAATACCATTTCCCTAACAAAAGAAATTTTACCCTCAACATGGTAATAGCCAGGACATGTTGCCCAGCAGGTCTGTTAAAGTTGACTGTGTGCAGGGGTGAGATTTCTCAGCTTTTCAGCTGATTTCAGCTTTAATTGTTTTGGATTTCAGCTTTTTTCCCCACTGACTGTGTACAAAAGTATTGGAAATTGTCACAGTTCAGCTTCTTTGTGCCTTTTTCAGCTGTTTTCATTGGTCAATCTCATCCCTGTGTATGGTACCTTGACTCAGCAGTTGTATACTGCCTGTCTGAAATGTCACTCTGAGGTAAAATATTGGAGTGCTCAACAGAGGAAGTTACAACTATTGTGCAAGTGACTCTCAAGAATCAGTATTTTGAAGTGTTTGAGGTCATGCTAATGTCTGGCTGACCTAATTTTGTCTTGAATTAAATCTGTGATAATGCCATGTCATATTAAATACATATGTGCAAAGATGAGGCTGACAGAATATTTAGGAATTGAGGAATTTTTCTCTCTTTTTAATAATTGTGCATAGAATGACAGTGGAAATTCTGTCAATTTAAAATATGCCAAAGTTTGATTATCTTTAAAGACAAATCGTAAACTACTACGTTCTGTTTGGACCCAAAGAAAGGATTACACCAATTTAGACCCAGACCAAAAGTCTGACAAGTTGCCAGTCTTTCTGTGATCCTTTCCAAGACGTAGCAGTGATAGTGCTGTGCATTTAGGTGGGTAGTACTGGAAATTGACATCCAGCTGAAATAAGTACACGTAAGTAAAAAAAAAAATTGCGAAGATACAAACAGGAGTACCAAATGTGAAAATACGTTAAAAGTGCCAATATAATATGAGGTGTATTATTGCTTCCGTGAAGCTAGGTTTTGCTTTAAACAATCTCCACAAAATCTTTTAAACCTCTTCGTTTTTTCTTAGCTTAAAAAGTTCTTATATGAATATGCATATGCAGGTGGATATGGATACAAGGTTCCATAATTTGGAACCAGTTCCCCTCGGGTACATGGGTAAGTTGTGTGTTGGTGATGGCGGTGCGACTTGAGAATTGTCTTGGTGCTCTAACAGTGCCAATATCTTATACTTCTAACAAGATGGCACTGCTTTCCAAAGTGCAGTCCACTCAATGTACATGTAAATGACAGATCGACTATTCCAATCACTGAATAATATGTGGGGCTTGTTTTAGTTTTGTAATCATATATTCAACCGTAAACCCACAATTCACAATAGTTTGCCCCCTAGGGGTTGACTGCAAGTGGCTACATGTACCTCTCTCAGTGCATTATGGGAAAATGGTCCGTGCTCTAAACAGCCAGTGGTGACAAGTTGTCTCTGTGAGACAGTGGCCATGTACTGTATTGCTGAGATTGTCATCGTATAACACCAACTTACGAGTAACCTTAACTTGCAACCTTGAGTCTCTCAGTAACCTGTTATTTTTTTATTCTAATATTTTACGCAAATTGGTTGATCTGGTCGTTCTAAAGTGTAAACAGATGTAGCTAGCAAAAAATGTAATCAGGTGACAAGATTTTTATGTTCTGATTCACCGCGTTTCACTTTTTGGTCATAAGATGACCCGACTTTAAATGTCTTGTGTTTAAATTTGTTGCTACAGTACTAAATTGTTACCTCTTGAAATGAGACCACATGTACTGCAATGCAGATTCAAATTGAATTTCCAAAGTCTTTACAATGATATTTTCTACTTGAGCCACTAAATTTTGAGCACTAACATGACCTCCTAGTAGCCTTTATTCAAGATGACAATGATAAGCACTTGACAGAGGATTGGAGGATGTGATTCACACCTGGTCATGGAGGCCTTGACCAATTCACTATCGAAGGCCCGAGGCAGAAAATTCAGCTGTTGGAGTAATTCATTTTGAAAATTCTTCTTGACCAATCACACAATCCGTGAAGCAGGCCGCTGTCTCTGTGAATACTACTCATGTACTTGTATATAGATGTCATGAGTCGTTATTGCTTGCCATTGAGTGGTTTCAGCATATTTCCACCGTTTTATCGATTGGATTCATTGCCACCGATTGAATTCATGCAAGTGTCTTTTTTATGATTATTAATACTACATGTACTGAAGTCAGTTGCCCCCAAAAAACCTAAAAAAAACCCTTTAGAAATGAGTTGGTAAAGGCAGGTGTGACCAGTCTTGACGAAACTTGCGTTTGCTTTTGTCAAAACTTTTTTTAAAAATCTGGATCACAATACCTTTGTGCTGCAGCCATTTTACCATATTGATGGTTGGCTCACTTTTTGTTATAACTCATGCCATAAAAAAATGTGGTCAACTATGGCAAGCATGCCTTTGTATTACCTTTGTATTTGGCATGGTAAGATGTCTGCCGGTGGCTTCAATGACCTCTGCGTGATGCTTAAGGGATTATGGGTCCAAAGGAAGTCCGCATCTCATGTGCCATGCCCACCTAGACCAAAATTCAGTAATTGCAGTGAAGGCCTTGACTCGGCTAAATTCGTTGCCACTCTGGGTATCTGAAAATTAGTTTCCTCTTTTTCCAGCAAGGAAAAATGTCGGGGATTATTAGGGAAAGACCAAAAACCTGGAAAGGCTTTGGCAGTACCGCAGATGGAAGAGGTTATATCAGTTTTTAGCGTGGGCCCAAGTTGTGTCCCTTATTAGGGAAATACCACCAAAAACTAACAGAACTTTAATGAGATTTAAATTTAGATTTAAATTCAACATCAGATTTTTCCAACCAAGGGCAGATCGGGGGGCGGGGGCAGTGGGGCCATACCTCTCCTCTAATGGGCCCAGATAGCAAACCAATTTTTAAGTAGCGAAAAATGATGTTTTGTTTCAGTTTCCTTCAAAAACATTTTGTGGAAAGCCTAAAACGGCCTTATCAAGGTTACAGAAATCTCCATTTTTTTTTCGCCTCCCCTTTAAAAGATTGGCTTTGGATCTGCCCTTGGTTCCATTACCCCCCCCACACTTTAATAGTTGATTTGGTAATGGAATCTCAGCACCTAGAGCCGAGTTATGTCAGTGTTTTTTAATTAGCGACAAGAAATATTCTGACTTTTTTTAATGAAAAAGAAACTGCTATTTTTTATGTTGTAATGAAACAGAGATTTTAAAATGAAATTATTAAGTCGGTGAGTTTTTGAAGCCTAGTCACAAGCCTTTGAAATTAACCATGACAAGGAGCATTCCTTTTGTCACTGTTCATACAGTTACCTAGACTAGTCTTGTTAAAGGACTTGTAAGTCTGACTGGAGCCGTGATTCATACATACATGTGGGAGGGAATTACATGTAGGTGCCATATCATTAAATCTAAAATGAATGTGTTTCCCCATGCTGCAACCAAGGGCAGATCCAGGGGTGGGTGGGGATAGGGCCACACTCCTCTTCCCCAAGGAGCACCAGTAATTAGAATTAGAACGGAAGGCGATTCCCTTAAGGCTTGTTCGTACTTGGCATGAAAGCAATCGTAATTGTGAATTTGTGAGGACAGATCAAATATTTGTGCTGTGAATTTACAAAATGTGAACACATTTCCACTCGAATGAAAACTTGTCGCACATCTCTTGTGACGCCAAAATCTCTTAGCTTTCACGCTTGCCCATAGTATTATAGTCTGTTCCGTTTCCCTTCAAAAGGTGTGTTATGAGCACCAAAATGTAGCCTTAAAGGCCATGACAGGTAACATCAAATCCAAATTCCCCCCCCCCCCGCACCTTGAAAATGTGGTTCTGGATCTATTCTTGGTGTCAACATCTCCCCAACTTGAAACACAAAGTGGTTGACTTGGTTATGGAATCTAGATGGTTACAGCTGAATTGTATTAATTTGCAGTGTTTAAATTATTGTAAACAAGATACATGTACATTTTAAATTGAAATACGGACTGTGTTAATTTTTTATCTTTTTCTAAAAAATAACAGGTGGAGATTTCGAAAATGAATTTTTGAAGTATTTGGCTAAAGTGGAACAATTTTGAAAGGACCTGAAATTTAAATCATGCTCTTGATTTTACATTTGTCAGATCTTTATTTTTGTGTGGGAAGATGGAGGGGAAAGACAGGATAGTGGAAAGGTTACCATATTATGTCCAATCCAGGAAATTCTATTTTCTTACATTTACCGAATAATTTGGCATGTTAAAAAAAAAATTGTTTTGGTGTATAAACTATTGTTGAAGGGTTTTGTGAATGTAACTTATATGAGAGGGAATAAAAATCACACTTTAATTTGAGCTTTTAGGCCAGAAATGGGCTGTTTCATTCCAGAGCTGTTTGTTTTCAATACATATGTATCATAGTTTATCTACCTTCATTGCTGGGGTAACATTTGCCTTGAGAATTTGAGAGAGAAAAAAACCACAGCGTGCAACGAAAGAGAGGCCATTTTTCACCACATCTTCAGAAAAAGTCAATACAGCTAAACCTAGTTAATTAGAACGCTATTAAAACAAGACTCTACTTGCAACAAGGAAGTCTTTGGGTCCTAACCCTTTGTTATTCTTTGTTTTCATTCCTGACAATACAAGGTTCCTGTCAAAACAAGGTAATTTGCCAAGTCTGAAGGGCCTCATATTAACGAGGTCCGACTGTAACTGTATTTTGGGGATGCCTTGCAACTCGAACAGCATATCAGGCAAAAACGGCAGTCTTTATCACTGAGTGCAAATATGAACTGTGCTGCATTTAACGAACAGACATGAAATGCCAGTGATCAGAAGATAGCTGCACTGTAAGCCAGCACTACAGATTTCCATCTCTAGGCATTGACAGTTTATGTGCTTTGCTGAGACTGTTCACACAAATGATACTTGATCATCCATTTTTCTCCGAGTTCAAAAGAAGTTCAAGGGTGCTATCAGCCTTGAGCCGGCATTTTTCACTTTGCTGGTACTGACAAGCCTGTAACACGTGTACATTTTCATAGTCCACTGTGAACCAGCGGAGTGCTGTTGGCAATGAGCCTCCGTTGGTCCAGCTCAGCCTGAGCTGGACCAACGGAGGCGGGGCTCATAGCTCCTGTCATGGCTGGCCCTGAAAACTGTCAGCACATACAAGTGTTCTAACGGTAAAGACAATGCAATTTAATATTACTCTGCTGCTGCCCGGTTGGCTTCTCAGAAATACATTAATGCAGAAGACTTGCCTCAGCTAGCCTTAGTAGGTGCCTACAGAAGCCACAGCCCAGTGGCTATGGCTACATCCTCACGGTTGAGTATGTTGTCATCAGCCATAGCTGAGACTTTCAGATGTAGTCTGATGCTATTATGACATCCCATTTTTCTACTTGAGGCTCAGTCACTGGCTGCAGCACACGTCATGAATATTCATCGTTGATGTTCATTGGCTCCTGTTCAGTTCCTTCCCTTTCAGTATTCATGAAATCACGTTCTGATTTGCCACCTGCCTCTCCAAGCTGTTCCTCCATCGGTTCCTCTTTTGGGGTGTGGCATTTTTGCTTATAGGTGTGTCCACTGTGTTTCTTTGATTTACTTTGATGCTTGTGGTGTCCAGTGCGTTGAAATGACCGAGTACCACCTCTCCCGAAGGAAATGTTGACCGGTACCCTTACAAATGAAATAAACAACAAGGTCAGAATGTTTTGTTTTCCCTCACCAACATAAAAAGCACATCAAAACATCAAACAGAAAACATCAACATGTTTTTGTTTTCACGTTTTTGTGTAACTGGGACATTTAACTTTTAATTCGTTTTGGTTTTGCCCTTATGCTTGATGCTTTCCAAAAGCTTTTAGACACATTCACAAGTTAACATGGCCGGGAATCGAACCAATCACTCTCTGTTCACCAGTGCAGATGACTCACCCCTCACTCACATGAGCTTGCTGGGGTTGGTCATGTAACTTGGAGGTTCAAATTTCATGTTGTATGTGCCCGACTCTGACATTCCATCAAGATTCATCCAGTTTGACTTTCAATATTGTTATATGCTGTACTTTTATTAGCTCAGAATCATGTGACTGGCCTGTAGAAATGCATGTTACCCTAATCCCTTGCACATCAGATAAGCTGTGAGCTGTTTTCATGTTATACTCTTGAAAACAGTAAACAGGAGCGGGAGCCAAAAATTGGCATATGACCTGCTGTTTGCGCATTTTCATTTGTATCAATGGTTGATTTTGCCGTAATCATGGTACTAAATCTATTTCATGTGAATTAAGTTCCTTTATTTTGTATCAGTTTCTCAACACGTGTCTTGAGTGTGATGATCCACTCTATCCTCCCCAAAATGATTTGAAGCTGTTAAGATCGTACTAGTACGTGTACATGATCAAAACCGTCAGGGTTGTGCACGGCAGCCATCTTTCCGATGTTTACTGCTTTTGTAACAGAGAGATAGCACAAAAGATGTACTAAGTCGTCACCATTTTTACAAAGAGACACTCTGGCCCCAAATCATGATTTTTCAAATTTCTGGCTTTTTTCCAAAATTAAATAGGCTCTGCGATGCCGATAACTTGGTGTTATCATTTTCTATCAAATCTACTGAAAACAGCCAAATCACGGAGATCTACATGTACCTAGGGCAAATTTCCGGTAAACCGAATTTTGTGTTTTTACGAAGAGGCGACTTTGTTTTTCATAGGTACAGCATTAGCAGTAAAGGGCTAATTTTTACGAAGATGCAAATAGAAGCCAGAATTGTATACAAATGTAACAATTTTCCCTATGGCATGCGCTACAGTAGAATAGCACGTTTTCACAAATAGAAAAAGTCGCATGAGTTTTAGTATTTTTGCAAAGAGGCAAATTTGTCTGTTTACAAAATAAAAATTTTTTTTGACTTCTGTAAGTATTGCATGGCAGTTTTGGGTCATTTAAGATCCCCTCTTTCACGATGTAGTATTGGTTAAGTCAAAGGCATGCTGCATACTGGGGAAATAAGGGTTCGAAAAAGAGACAACTTCAAATGCAATTTTCTTGAAACCTAGGTTTTACTCTCTGGTGAGAAATTCGCCTTTTCGTGAAAACGGTAAAAAGTGTTTCCCTGAGGAAAAAAGAAGAAAGTCGGCTGTCATGCACAACCTCTATTAAATAATGCATAGCTACAGGCCAACACTCTTCTGGGAACTTAGGCAAATATTGCAAGGAATTCAAGACACAAAATAAATCAATTGTTCAAAGGTGTGGCATGTGAAATATCCATAATTGTTTGCAAATAGAGGATTTAAAGTCACATGATTTCTGACGGTCCGCGTTCAATCTATACAGATGAGTGTGGAAATGCGTGCACATTCAAAGTCTATCAACATTCTAGCATAGCTGAAACTTCCAATAGAATTACCAGATTTGAAAATGCATGCACTTCCACAGATGCAGTATGCTTCCTACAATGTCATGTTACGTCACATGAAAGACCTCTATATGCAATGAAGTTACATTTGTGGCGTTCGGTGTATATACCAACTGTTTCTATCAAAGTGAAGTCATGTAAACTCTGGTACCTGCGTTGCCTGTTTTCAACTGGTGCTTGGTGCTCTACACAGGTAGTCTTTGGCCTGTCACTGTGTGTGGCTGGGACCGTGTCACAGTGTGTGTCCCCATCAACAGGTGCTTCCGTTTCCATGGCTTCTTCACCAGTTTGTCTTGGCTTTCCCGGTGACCTGTGCACACACAGTCAAACACCTTTACCACAAAGTCATTGGGACTTCACAAATTACCTTGTCAGAACAGGTACCTCAAATTGTATTTTGCAAATAAAGAACACAAAGACTTGGGGACCTAAAATTTCCCTTGTTTTAACCCCTTGGCTACGGAGGACTGCTACTACCGCACCATTGTGTGAGGATTAGTGCATACCGCACATACAGTCCATTCACCATGCAGCTGCTGGTTCAATGGGGCCTGCTGCTGGACAAAGCCCTCCATTCAGGGCATACCACAGCCCAGCAATTAAGAACAGTGCTCTTGACTTTACAGGTAAAACAATTACGACTATAGAGTACCAAAGTGAATACGTCACTGACGGATGATTATGTGTGCAAAAGGCATTACTGCATGAACTACGAGTGGTGCATACACCAACAGGCCCGTGGACTCTATTTGTTTGTACTACACGTCTTCGATCAAATCATGTCACGCTTTTGTACTTGACAATTACTATGGTTGTTAGTGATCAACAGCAGACGTTCTTGATAAAAACTGTGGAGGAATATCTTTCCTCCAAATACAGTCAGGATGCCCCAACCAGCCTCATTTCAATTGCTTTCAATATCAGAACGAATAAATTGTGGGGTCCGTCCATACACAAAAATAAAATATTCCAACATCAATAGACCCTCCTTCCTCCATCAAGACATTCCCTGTGGTTTTGAGCCTCTTCCTTCCATGCACATTTTTTGTATATTACGCATTCCCTGTTTCTTGTTTCTCTTTGAGTTATCAGACCAGGTGCGCCTGCAACTTGTCAGATCTAAATGGTGGGGGGTGAATGGTACTGCATGGAGATTAATTTTCAAATCATGAAATTTGGTCCCTGTAGGTAATAAATGTGAGGAAGTACATTAATTTCATGACGATTCATTGAAAGTGAAAATTGGTGTTCTGGGAAGGTGCTTGTTGGGCATGATTCGATGATGTGCCCGATCACTCAATCTTTGGCGCACTTGGTCGATCTCATTCAACGATTTGTCTGTAACGCAGCCATTTGCCTTTCTTTGCCAATTGACGGGTGTGGAAGACGCTTTCGTAAAATGGGAAGTAAAGTTAGAGATTTCATTCAGGATTGGCCAATCATTCCGAGGGAGGCAATTGTGCAAACTGGCCGAATCAGGTGATCATGCCTGACATACATACGCCTCAGAACCCCCACCCCTGCCCATACTCAATGCCCGCAATCCTTCCCTTTATCTGCATGCACACTGTACTGCCAGCCCCTGAATTACAACAGGCCCTCAACATCCGTCCTCTCAGAGAAATTTGTCATACATGTAGACTGTGTACCACCATCATGAGGCAACAAAAATATTTTGCTACAAACCGAGGCTTGGCAATTCCTTTCTGGAACCTGAAGTCAGCTGGATAGTGGTGATCCTTGATCAAGTGCTCCCTGCGGTGTTGAGCATCGGCAAATTTCTCCCGGCAACTTTCCACCAGACACTGGTACTGTGACATAATTGAACAAAAAACCCATGCAATCAGTTCATTGCCACGGCTGGGCTAGATTACACATTACTCTGCATGCTTTTAAATCACGCCAAGAATTCTTTGTATGATGCACTGACCCTTACCATCGGCTGTTTCGTGGCCATGACCTCAAACAGCGAGTCATGTGACTCTAGGACGTGGATATCCAACAGATGGTTGGAGGGGTAGGACCGGCGGCAGTCGTGGCAAATATTCCGGTGCGCTCCGTTGTAGTGGACCTCGTAGGACAGGACGGTGGTAAAGGACTGGCCGCAGCCAATCACGTGACACTTGAAATCCTCATGCCTGTTTGGAAATTCATACAAAACAAATCATCTTGTAAAAACAACTTTGTATGGTAGGAGTCTATGTTTCAAATCTCAGAATACAAGAGACTTGCTTCGGATAGGACACTTTAATGTTTTGACCTCGTGCGCACATTATCCTGCAGTGTAAACCACACAGCAGCATATCCAGATTTTTGGTGTCAAGGGTAAATTCAACAGCGAATGTGGCTTCTGGCTTATTCAATATGAAAAAATAGCAAAAGCCTTACTCGCCGTCCCGACATCCTTGCTTTTATTTCATGGTGTTTTTTTCTTTTTAAGGTTTTGATACTAATATTTGATGAGTAAGTATACCAATTACTTTCTTACCTATGAAGTATTCATTGTTAAAAAAAATCTGTCAGGTCCTTTCCCCCCACCGCTGGATACGCCACTGAAACTACACAAACTTACACCCAAGACACCGCATAAACAATCATACCAACTCAGTAAATGACTGAAGTTGAAAAAAAAAACCAAACAAACTACGTCGCCCTGGGGACCTTAGAGATGATTACATGTGTAAGTCTATCTCCAATAATGTGACGTCCTACCGATTACCATGTGCATTGGCACTTTCGGCAGCAAATGTGATGCGCATTCCCCTTGCTGTGTATCGAATAATTTGCAGGCTATGTGCATGCATTGAGAACATTATATGCACAATGCACGCAGACGCACTTGGTGGTTTTACTCATGCAGTTGTAACTGTCCGCTGGTGATAGCTGTCTATGAGAGGGGTTTATGCAAAGGAACACACATTTTCTCTTCACACTTAATGAATAGGCCTACCATCTGTCACAACTGTGAACACTGTGGTCAACGTGCAAATGTGTTTTTCTTGGTGGCGGAGTGGGGGCAGTGCAGTGATGGAAGTCTCGAGACTGGTCTCAGTCTCAAGACCGGTCTCGAGACCAGTTTTTGCCAGTCTCGGGAGCTGTTGTCTCGGTCTTGTTCCCCTATGGTCTTGCTAATGTGGCTGGTGTCGAGTCGAGACGTGTTCATTTCGTTCGCATTTTTCAGTCCAGTTGATAGTTCAAACATTTGTTAGCCCTCAGATCATGTTGTCAACCCTGTTACTGAATCGTTATGTATCGTGATTCGTTTGTAATTTTGTGTCTGGTTTGTTTATTTCTGGTATTGTTTTTTATTATCCTTGGTCTCGGTCTTGGACCATATCGGTCTTGGTCTACTCTGAAGGGGTTGGTCTTGGTCTCGCGACTTCAGGTCTCGGTCTTGCACCATCTGGTCTCGACTACAACACTGGGGTGGTGGGCACAAAAAGCACTCAACTGTACCATCCATAGTGGTTGGGGGTCCATAAAATGTCATCAAGACTTGGCATTTCTCATCACCATTAACTTTTCACTTCATTTCTATATTGGTTTTCCCTTGTCCTGCGCCCCCCAATGGCACTGTGCCAGAGAAGCATTGCCATCTGCAGCTTCTTTATTAAAACTTTTCTTTTTGCACTACCACGGATAGTCCTGACCGTCACAATCAGCATATCATCATTGCATTCAGATGTACACTACTCAACAAAAGTTAAGGACCACTTTTTTCTTAACTTGTATTTTTTTTCCAATCAATAATTGGGCTCTAGTTCTTTCATTTTTTGTTTGTCTAGATGGTCTTCTCATTGGAATAAAAAATAAAAAATTGTTTCAAAACATCAAATGCACATTTTCAGCAGTAAAATACATGTATCCCATATAAAAAAAGTATACACAAAATAAAAAGTGGTCCTCAACTTTTTTGGAGTAGTGTAGGCCTACACATGTTTACATCACCAGTGGTACCATTTTTATGCCATGTGATTTCAAGCTATGCCTTGCCATCTGCAATTCATGCGCAACCATCAATAAAAGAAAGTTAAAGCTGTGTGTCATCCAGAGTTGGCTGGAAATCACACAGGTGTCTATGGGCAGCAACTGGCTAGCGGCTGTAGCCACTTCCCATAGGTGTATGTGCTACTCTAAGCCACAGCCGCTTGATTAGACTCAGCCAGACCTTGTAAGATAGTCGTCTTGTTCAGTGTCTTCAATGGGCATCTGCTTGTGCGCTAGACTAAGTTCCAGGTTTCCGTCCTGAAAGAAGGTATCTTCTGAAACATCAAGGGGAACACTGATTGTGTAAAGCACGTGCTGTTTTTACATTTGCCTGGGCATTTTTCTTGGGAGTATTCAGAAATCCTCTTACATCCTCAGAAAATCAGTGGCACGTTCAAAACGACAGATTAGGTAATTTCTGAGTGGCATTAAATCCAATCAAAGTATGTTTGAGCTTTTTTCTCTTTTTACTCCCTCACTTTTTCAAAATCCTTCAAATCCCCAGTGGGTTTTCAGGAACGTGGAAGGGTTGGGATTACAGCCAAAAAAAAAAAATTGACTGAAACTTGGTGGCCCACAAATATGTAAAACGTGTGAACTTTGAAACTTGAAATTTGGTGGCAAACACCTGAAAAATATGAACTTTGCAAAAACATACATGTATTGTACATATACACCTACTACAGTTGTTTCTGAAAAGAGAAACTTGAACCAATATCTTGCCCCAAACTTGAAAATGACTTCCCTAAGACGCTACACTTAAAATTTCTATATTTGGTTTTCTTTCCCTTTCTCTTTCTATTTTGCTACAGACAACAAATTCTTTTTAAAGACTATTTTCCCAAACCGTTACATTGTTGCTCGTGAAGCACAATATGCAACTGACATTCTCAAGTTCCTGTTTGTTCCAGCAAATACATGTACATTGTACTAACCATCACTATGAATAACAACTGCATGTACATGTATGCAGTGGGATGAAATGACTAACTGACCATGTCACTGTCCACAAATTCTCATTTATCAGAAAACTGTCAAGTTCAGCATCGGAACTCAAGTTTTTGGCCAGGCCAGTGAGGCCATACCAGGATTTTGAGCATCTCTTATTGGCCACTGTAAGGTCCTGGGGGGATGTTGTTATCGGCTATAAGTGCTAAACCCTAGTAACAAGCAAATTTACTAATCGCTTGACTGAATGGCATGTGGGGTGCACGCCTATCGTTTTCTCAATAACTGTCAACTTGCATAAAGTTTATTACGCAATGTGGCATTTAGGTTTGCCAAATTATGATCCATTTTCCAAGGGTTAATTGCTGAAGTGGGGCAAACTCCCGATTTACTGCAAATCAATAGTTTTAAGGGTAGTTGTCCGCACAGACGTACAATGTACTTGTATGAAATGGTGCGTGCCAGAGTTTACAGTCGTACTGGATATCAGTATGTAGGAAAGTGAAAAAAAAAAGGTTTATGAAATAACATAAAACAAATAACCGACCTGGAAGAATTCTCCTCCTTCTTGGTACATAGCTCCAACTCCGCCTACCACTTTGCATTGGTTCACTTTGCACTAACCTGTCAGACTCCATTGCTCTACATGCCCGAAGGAAAGATAGACAGATTAACAAAAGTGCCTTATTTTAAACTTTAATACCATCTAAGATTTTTGTACTTTAACTCATTTAAAAAATGGTACAAATTTTTTGATTAACCCTCAAATATGCACAAGTGCCCAAGGTCACTCTCTTGCATATTGGTGCAGTGCACAACACAACACAGCTGTGCTTCTTCGAGGTGTTTACCAAGTGACCCAAAGAGAGACTTCAGCATAGGAGGGTTAAATGTTGATGTTACTGTCCCACCTCTTCCAAACGAAAACAATGATACATTCTACCCTTGCACATTCCCATATAATTTCACTGGCCCTGACGTTGGTCCAGGCATGGAGCTATAAAAAAAGGTATGGTCCAGGTACCGGCAGGTCTGACAACCATGACAACAGAGTTGTCCGGAAATTGAACATATAAATTAATGTTGAAAAAGAAGTATTTTTACCTTTTGAAAACTAATCACTGAGTCCCAACAAAAATTTACATCTCTTGCCAGAAATTCACAACAAATTTTTCATTATAAAGGCATATTTTACCGTAATTTACGAACATTTACACATTTGCTTGTCGTTCACGCATCCTTAAGTCATGTACAGTAGTCAGTACCAAAGATTGGCGCTATACAATCTTTGGTCAGTACATGTACGTTCATGAAGGCCGCCATTTTTAAAGTCAAGTTTTTGGGGCCGGATCTCGACCAATGAAATGATATTTTACTAAAAGATCAATATGCAAATTTGTAATTAGGAAAAAAAATAAATTTTAAAAGCTTTCAATATTGCTGGCAAATTATGTCCACTTAGCTTTATGATGAAATACTTTATTTTCCAGTATGTCTATGATTCCATGTTTGATAATAATTATGTGAAACAAGTTTTAAGTTTAATTTAAAAGCTGAAGTGCATTATGAATATCCATAGTTTTCTTTCGGCCAATCAAGCGGCCTTGGGCAAACTCCCGGTCTCTAGTTAGCATTTTACGCGGGGTATTTACAGATCAACAATCGGAGCTAGCTAGGCGGGATAGTGGATTGCCGATTGTCGTCGACGCGTCGAACTACATGTAGCTTGAATTCCTTCGAAGCAAATGACGAAATGATATTTTTATAGCATTATAAGGAAGGTGTTGCTACCGGAGAGATAATTGTAGAGTCATGGCAGGTTTTGATAACGAGGATGAAACTCGGGCTGTTCTGCAAGAGATCAGCATTTTCGATTCAGGTTTGTCATGTTTGTGTCGGCAATGATGAGTGGTCGGTCACGTCACGTCATCATGCAATAACCGAGACCTGTTTTTTTAGGCCCAGCAGGGGCCTGGTGTAGAACGATTCAGCCTGGCATGGTCTGTGTTGGCATCCCAGAGAATGGCTTGACCGACGGCAATAAAGCAGTGAAGGGGTTGCACTTGGAGTAATTGTACTTTTTGTTGAATATTTAAGTCTGATGGCACTGCAACAAATGTTAGAAACTTTAATATTGTGAGACGCGAGATAGGCCTAGGCTCAAACATTCTGCCAGGCCTCAGCATGCAAGGTCCTAACTCACTGTGTCTGTATTAGAATAATATAAGCCTAGTCGGTAAAGCATCCCATGAGCATCCAAAGCACACATCTCGCCAACTATATGAATCTTCACGGGCCCCTAGCCTAGGCTATAGGCTAGACCATGTAACTTCATAAAGACCAAAGAATTGGCATCAGGATGGAGCATCTTTCCTTGGGCCATGCCCTCGCTGTGCTAGCATGCCGACAGCTTTAGTTTAAGTAACTTCAGCCATAAATTATTCTTTGTCATGACATAGGCATGGAGAAGTCTGTGTTTAGGCATTTGAGGGCAGAGTTGTAATGACTCAAGTCAGTAACTTGCATCACCTACACAGGAGATGGAAAAACAGTGACATCTTAAGATGCGTGCACTTTACTGTTAAGTACATGTATCAAATCACTTGGCTATCGTAATGGTTATTGGTCATTACAGTGGTGACCGAGAGTGACCTGTGCTGACCACTTGGCTATCGTAGTGGCTATCGGTCATTCCAGTGGTAATCGAGAGTGACCTATGCTGACCACTTGGCTATCGTAGTGGCTATTGGTCATTACAGTGGTAACCGAGAGTGACCTGTGCTGACCACTTACCTATCGTAGTAGCTATCAGTCATTACAGTGTTGACCAAGAGTGACCCTTGTTGACCACTTGGCTATTGTAGTCGCTATCAGTCATTACAGTGGTGACCAAGAGTGACCTACCGGTATGCTGACCACTTGGCTGTTGTAATGGTTTAAAATTAAACAAAACTGCATGGTTAGTGGCTAAAGCCACTATAGACTCTTGTGTAATTTTAAGCCCCAGCCAAGTGATTTGGACATGATCTTATCGTGTAAGAAGAAGGTAAGAAATGAAGCACCAGGTCTGTAGGTAACTGCTGGTTCTTGTTTGAATTTGTTCCGATTGTTCATGTTGCTACGGTAGTGTACATGTAAGTTACTTGTATACGTGTGCATAAAACACATTGTGTCGTTAACATAGTGCCCTCTAGAAGCTAATATTTTTTTCTCAATGTGTTCAATTTTTGTCACAGGCATAGATTCACAAGGGAACATTGAGGTTAACGATGCATTGAATTTGGGGATATTGCACCGCCGGACACTGCGACCTCGACCAAGAGTGACCTACGCTGACCTCTCGCCTGTCAGCAGGCGACTACCTTCCCCACAGCTACCAACTGGGAGTTTCACCTTTGAACCCAACAAACCCAGTGAAAGAACTAAGTCTGATGAACGAGATCAGTCAACAGGTACCGGTAAGTAGTGTCCATATAATTGAAAGGGCCCCACCTTTCTTTGCTCAAGTTTTTCTCAGAGCGAAATTTTGTTTGCAAACTTTTGAAAGAATATCCCAAAAGAGTTCTTATTAGTACGTGTACATTGTGCGTGAAAAATTTGTAGAAAGCCAGAAATATTGCCAGGTATTGCCAGCTTGCAAGATGAAATTCGAAAAAAAATGTTTTGTGAAAGCCCCCTACCAATTCCTTTTGCCCCCAAACGCTCCTCCCACCCCCCCCCAAAATGCTAAAAAGGTTTCTCTTTTCTTTTTTCAGTGAGTGGTGCTGTTGATTTCAACTTTGAAACTCCACCAAAGACGCCAAAGTCAACCCACAGATCACCCTCCAAACGGGCCCTGGAGACCCCAACAGGAGCAGGACAGCAGCACTTCACAGTATACATTGACAGCCCTGAGGACTCTCCGGTGGCGGCTTCACTGCAGTCGTCGGAGCCCGTTCCGGCCAAGCGAGCGAGAATGCTGTTGCTAGACGACCAGGTGTCGCTACGGCAGCAGCTTGCAAGCCTCAGCAGTGAGCAGCTGGTGGAGGTTGTGGAGAGATTGGTGGAGAAATACCCTGATATGCACAAAGTGAGCTTAAATGCTAACACATATCAGTAAAAAAACTACATATAGCACACTCGTCTCGAGTCGTACCTTCATACACTCCAAGAAGTATCATGAAATATCTGAACCCAATTCAACCCCAGCAGCCAATTTCTCAAAACCAGGCATAACTTTGCACCATGTGTGCAAGTCTCTTGCCATAAATCTGTGGTATAGCATTGCAATATACTGTAAAGATTAACTCCACGAAAAATTGATTTGCTGCGCAATTCTTAATGATGTGAACATTTTTGAATCAGAAGGATCACAGCTTTAACCACAGCTGTTCATTTTCAGCAAAACAGTCGGTAAACAGTCGTTAGAACAGCTCAGTCTGCCATTTCAAACAAAACTTTTCATCTCTTTGTCCTTGGAACTGGGGAGAAAATGTCAAATTTCTCTCACAGCATAACAAGAGTTTCGTAACCTCCAAAAAACAGTTGTATTTTTCTTTTATATAAACCCTGTTAAGTCCGGCAATTTAATCAAGCACGATTAGTCAGTGAAACTAGTTCAATTTAGCATCAAGCACCCAGTTGAACCCAGTGACCTTTTTTGTCTTCCGTCCAGGAAGTGTTAGCCATGCTACCCGAACCTGATCTATCCCAGTGCCAGGAGAGATTATCAAACCTTTTGCACAACATCTTCCGTGCCCTACCCCGCACAAGGTTGGCATCGACCCGAGGAGCGCTAAGCTATCGGCAGGTCAAAGTTCACCTCTTTGAATTTAAGGTCAGTTTCCAACTCCACCTGCATTAATTGGCATACGGGACGGCTTTTGATCTGACAGAGGTTGCAGTATAGATTTGGGCAGATGTTTGCCACTGAAATAAATAAGGTGATGTCTGCATGAACACAATTTCATTGAAGGTTCTGTTAGCTTTTTTTGGAAATACTCTGCAAAACCTGTATTATTCCCATTTAAATACCGACTCCAGAAAAACATCAGTGATATCTACATACATTGGTTATTTCTAATGGAGTTACCAGCATGAGGTCAATTTTATATACCACCAAGAAACTTAACGTTTTGAAACTAAAACTGGAAAAACACATTCCAGAGGTCTTTATTTATCACTTGAGTAAAGTTTGAATTAAGCTGCAGATATCACTCCGTGTAATACAATCTGAAGGTCTCTGTTTGAAATAAATGCCTTTTGAAATGTTGTCATTCTTCAGAAATTCTGCATCCAGCAAGGAAGACATCTGGTCAGCTGCCAGGCATGGGGGGCTCTGGTCAGTTACATCCTCATGGCATGGAAACTGGTCAACTACCTGCCAATGTAAGTAGAAACTCCTTATGAGATTCAGGCAGTTTAAAATAAGGGAATAAATCTATTAATAATGAATCTAAATCATATCTGTGTATGAAGCATTCAACATAAATTCACATGTACAACTTGTGAACCATCACGGTGTCACTACAGTAATTGCTTCTAATTAAAGTTTATTTTGAGTACCAAAGTGTGAAGTCATTTCAAACCAGGAAGCGTGGTGCAAACTAAGTCGTATGGGCGCCAGTTGGTTTATGTGCTTGGTTCTCGTGCTAATGGCTTCTACACACATCATGTAATAGTTTGCGGGACATATTTATTTTGGCAGTGTTCTAGCCAGGGTGGGCGGGGCCAGGCGGCACCATCTGGTACTGTAAATTAGCTCTTGGGTTCAAATTGGCTGTGCCACCCAGCACGAATTTCCAAAAAATGAACTGAAATATTGCTGAAAATGTACCAATTTGATCACATTTCAAGCTTACAAAGTCACAGTTTTGTACTATTTTGCACTTTTAAAAGTAAAGACCTAAGAAATATATTTCTCATTTTCTTCGTATCAAATCAGCCGGATTTGGAAGTATTATTGTAAACATGCCTTCACAATGACGCAGGGGGAAATCCCGTCTGGGATTCCCCTAAAAACCCAGCTATATGGGCTGCGAGAGCTCGTCTTCCTGCGCTCGCTACACTTGGTAATCGAAAAATTTACCTGGCACTAAAATGGTCTTAGCTAGAACACTGCACTTCTTTACTCTACACATGCTTAACTCTGTGCTGCTGAGTTTTGCTGTTTAGTCTAATTTTATTTATTTCATAATTGTTTTTTTCAGATGGGAGAACCCATCCCACAATAACATTCGGGGCCAGTGCCTCCGAAGCCTTGTTGGCTTCTTTTCCAAAGCTCTGAAGTCTGGCTCTTTGGAACATGACAGACTAACTGAACTCAGACCAAGGTAGGTAGCTATTTTGCCGTTCCTTCAATTGACACAACTGTTGTAGCTTGAGGGACCCTTTTGGAAACCTGCTTTCAGAATTGAACACTCTGTGTGAATACTCTGGAACTTACAGAGGAACAAAGTCAACATTTTACCAATATTTCCCGTGTTGTAAAAAAGGTGAAATACCCCCAAGGTATCATTTAGTCGGCGTTATCAGCAGCATCGTTCATTTTCAAAAAATTGCCGCAGGTGGAAAGTATTCCACATCCCTTGTTTGTTGTTGGGTAGGAGTGTATATGGGGTACAGTTTCTTTAGCCGAGCCAGCACTGGCCTCGAGGCAAATAACCTTCTCTGCATATATGGTTGTTACGTATTTGGGGGGAGAATATAGTGGGATCAACACATCATGGATCTGCTAGAGTGCTGTTTGACACATGTATATGGGAAATTCCAGAAATTAGGGGTCCAAAAATGTGACATTTTTGTGTCCCTGTTACATCTGACCTTTGTTATTGACACGGAAATATCCCCAGAATGGATTTCAAACTACTACTATTTGTTTGGCAGGTAATTTGCATTAATCCATCATGTGTTCTGAACTTACAAAATCATATGTCAGATGTGACAGGGACACGAAAAAAGATAGACCCCTAATTTCCTGGATTACCCACGTGCAATTACCAGAAGCTGACCTGAAGCGTACACTTCACACTTAGTCATCGTTACCAACAGTGCTTTACTCCAGACAAAAGTCCCATTCAGGTCCAGCTTTATTCAACTCTTTTTGACCTGCCTGACAGTCCTTGCTGTGTGAATCTTTTGCATCCTTCCCAATCAATGCAGCGGCATGCATAATGGTATTGCTCACCGGTCAAACTATACATATGCAGCAAAGTATGAGACGGAGAGAACCCCCCCT